CTTTACTTTCATTTTCATCAATGGAAAGAAGATACATCGGCCGACTGGCATCCCAAAGGGCTTCATCAACCGGTGTCATTTCGTTTCCGCGGTTCCGGCATGGAGTAAGTTTTCTGTTTTCCATATTTTTTTGTGCTTTGAAGTTTCTTCATGGACTGGATTGGTTTTACGGGATAGGGTTGCTAGCCCTATGCCCAGCCTTCCCTCTTTATCCGGGCTTAAGGACCGGCTAGCAACTATTTGCTTAGAAGAGGTTGCTTTGTAGGTTAACAAGTTTTAATTACAATAGTATTGTTTTTTCTTCGTTTTCCTCCGTCGTACATTCAGTCAGGCAGAGTGGTCAGTGACTTGATGCTTGCCCAAGTTTGACGAAACTTTTCGCGTATTCCTTCAGTCTGACTTCTACCGTGCAGGTAAGTACACTGCCTGCATGCAGTATGTTATCGAATAAGCATTGTGTGGCGTGGCTGGCCATTATTTCATCCGTACAGTGTGCAGAACATGGGTGTTTGGCTGTAATTTTAGAAAGTTTTTTCATTTGGTGTAGTGTTCTCACTAAATAGTTAGATTTATTCTGTAACTCGTCGACTCGTCTTGCTACATTACGTTTGCCACGTCACTGTTAGGTTACCGTGTTGGCTGACCGGTCGAAGTTATTTGAGTAGGTAAGTAAGCCACCGATTAGATCAAATTATAATGTACCTGATGTGTTCTGTAAGATACTTTTTTGTTGCTACCACATATGCGTATGCTTCGCACTGCTAACACAGATGGAAGACTGATGAGCGATGGCGAGTTGTCATCGTTCTTAAATGTGTTTGTGTACTGTTGTACTCCCTATTTTCATCTTCGTGTAACCAGTCTTTCATAAAGAAATTTAGATCATATAGATGGTTATGCACCAACTAAACACCTGGAAAAATAGATTGTTTCAGCTGAAATCATATTCAAATTCTTGGTTGGCAACCGATATATTTGGATCTAAAATGCCACTGCAGTCAAAACTCTTAGGATACTCCTAAATATTTTGTTTCGTGCCTTTCGAATTCTCCTTGTTACCAAATGTACATGCCAATACCGCTTAGTGGTACTTCAGACTTCCGTCATCCTAATTATGGTGAAATCCAGTAACAACGCAATGCGTATTGAGCATCCAAGCACCAAGTTAGCTGACCTCTAAGCATACACTCTGAAAAGTGTCTGTCGCCTCATCCACTTTACTGAGACAGTAAAAACTCTAAGTTGCACAACCCATTCAAACACCATAGAAATATTCGTGCATTTTGGATCAGCCAGGCTGGCACTGCTCGTAGACGCACTAGGCGAGGTTATGAAAAACAATAGGTAAAGGGTTGTTCTTGGGAGACTCCCAGCTGAAGGGAAACAAACAGCTATGAAGGGTGACGACATCTGAACGTACTTCTTAGACAACTAGATGAAAGATGGTGGCGCGGAAGGAATTTAGAAAACAAACAGCAGAAGTAGCACGGCCGGATTCTGAGTGGTTATACAACGTATGACAGGACGAGAATAATACAGCACACATGGATTCTCACAAATCATATAACACGGACAAATCCATTCTACCAGGAGAATAAGTGAAGAACGCCAAACTTTAATTGCCCTGTGTGCCGAAATAACGGAAACAATAAGACCAATGCAACAAAATGGAATAAGTGAGTAAAATTTATGGAATATGGACATCAACAGCGCCCGTTACGTAGATAAGTTATAAAAAGAATAAGCGACAAGAAATAAGCCAACTAATGTCGTCTACTAATAAGTTTACTGGCGGCCAGCCTAAACCTTAGGCTACCGAAAATTTCCCGTCAAATTTATTTCGCCAAATAAGTCCCATTTTAATGGTTCCCTCCTACAAATGTGTCTTTTAGGCGCGTCAGGTACTCTGGTATACTTTTAGGAAGGTCTGAAACAACGTTTTTTCAAGCTAGCAGAAAAACAAAATAATAGGCGATATGCCAGCAAGCGGCGGGTTTATAAATGCGAGGAGATATAATATTTACCATTCTTTGGGTAACTGTGTCTAATGCCAGATTGGGATGCTGGCCGAATAAACTACCATCGCCAAAATTACGCCCGAGATTCTACTCACTCACCAGTCCAAAGGAGACACCATACGAGTACCAGGTACCTGTTTCATATCATGGCTTTAATTACTGTCGTTGTGAAAATTATTCAAGTGAAACGATTAGTTCGCCTAATGATAATGTATTTATTGAACAATAACGTACTGAGAACTCCATACTGTGCCAGAAGTTCTGTTTCGACTAAAGCTTTTATCACCGTTAAATTGTTCCAAGATGGTGCGGCATGACTTTTAGTCGCCAAAAGATAGCATTCCGATTGTTCACCAGCTGGTAGGGTGGGCGTTCAACGGAGTCCATGTGACACTAGCATTGAGCACTGGTCTAAGCCAGAATCGTCAGAACCCAACCGTTCCTAATAACCCGTATAATGTATTTTTGTAGAAACTTGTCCATTATCCCTGATCAAGCGTCTATTGATGACACGAATGGCTTTAAGAATCCTTTTCTGACTACGACAGAAGATTCAAGGAAGCTCTAGCAAACATAGAAGCTGTTCTCAGCGTCAGAAAGTTGTCCTACTTATTTCAACTAAAGGTATTCTGGTGTAATGCTAGAGCCTCCACACCACCGTTTATTGCAGCAAAATATCGGCTATCGGCATCATTGGTGTCGGTGTGAATGTTCAACACTAAAATTTGCGGAAAAGCATTTAGAAACGGATGCAGATGCTCAGGATGGTGATAAGACTGAAAGTAAACGCGAAGGAATGACGAAGGTGATGATGAGTATTATGCCTTGAAAGGGCATCACGCAATGAAATGCAGATATGATACTGGAAGTATTTCATGAAGTATCCGTAGTTTCCCCACAATATGCCCCGAGTTTAGTGAGTAAATAAATCTACCATTTTTACAGCATGAATTTATCATGAGAGAAGCCAGTCCATGGGTATCATCTCAGCGACGTATGCTGAAAAATCCACAAGATCCCAAGGGTCCTGAATGACACAGAAGTGTGGTCACTAAACTCTTTCAAAAACAGAAGAATCCGCTGGTTAGGAAACGGACAGAAATATCGTCTCTCAGAAGGTACAGTGTTAAAGTTAAGACCGTTTTCAGCCACACTTTTACTAAGGTGGCGCTAAATTCTAAATTTCCGTCACAAGCAGTTAGCATGTTTCACTCGTCCCCATAGTTCCCCGTTACGCCAGTTCGACGTATATTTTACCAAAAACTCGTATGCTTATAGTTTCGGAGACCAAAAGGGCCCGCAGTAACGACATCAGGAATCAGCAGGCTTCCACATGGTCACGTAATCCAAGTGAAAATTTGTGTCCAGGCGTTTACCCCTATTCAAGTGATACCGTTCACAGCAACATAGGTTCATGTCTTAAAGGAATGAGAAGTGACAAGAAGCATTAGAAAGAGAGTAGCTACAGCACCCTCACGCTTCTTAGCGGGGTTCCGTGGGTCCTGAAAGACTATTTTGAAACCATTAAGAGGGAAACCAAGTTATCATCGTAGAGATTATGAAAACAAGTTTCTGGATAATAATGGTTTTCCCTTCACAAAACTGAGTGTTCATGAATGCACGCACTTTACAGGTGCAGTTTTTGTAATTCAGAGTAGTGAACACAAACTACTGGTTGACCTGATTCACTGTCGATCCAGTTGGTAAGCAACTGCGGGGTTGTTAGCATACAGAAAGCAAATATACTTATATTTCTCATTCCATGCAATGTACCCTAATGGTTAAGGGTTCGCTTTGACTTTTGACCTTGTTAGTAAGGCAGCTTGTAGACTGGCAGGAATTGTCCTCTGACTTTTGCATTTCTGGGTGGTGAGAAAGGATATTTCGCAGGTTCCAACAGAAGTATAAAGTTTATTTGAATCACTTCGATAAATCCTAGTTCTACTTCTGGCAAACTCTGGGTATTAAAGGGAATCACACTCGTCCTCAAGCCACCTGCATCACCAATCACTGAGTCTTGGCGTCACACAGGTACACTAGGGCGAAGGATAAGTGGCGATATGTGAACACACACTCGATGTTGCCAGGGCAACCAGATGGCAACCTCATTTTAAAAGTTTAAGGGGATGGAGTTGTAACAACTGCCGAAGGAAGGGAGTTCCACAGTTTACAAACTCTGACAGCAAATGATTTAGCGCGGATCCTTGTACGTGCTGTCTCACGCTCTATTCTTAACTGGTGACCTCTTAGGTCGCGTTTCTGAGTAAAGCTTAGAAGGGACCTGTTAGGATGGAGAGGATTACGGGCCATGTTTTAAATCAGGATCATATTTCCCTGATCCTCCGGCACTGTGCTGTATGCAGCCTAAGAGCAACTAAGCGGTCTGGGTGCGGTTTGTATCGTAACCCAATCACTTTCTTTGTAGCTCTTCTCTGTACCCATTCTAGGATGTATATTTCCTTATTTAAGAATGGAGACATCACGAGCGAATTTTCCTCTAGATGAGACAAGATGCATAGAGCATATAATGTGGTGAAAAGAGAAGGGGTTAGACCCCCTTAAGTTCGCCAGAGAAACTCCAAGACTCCATAGGCCATGTTGGCCGCAAGGCGACAGTGGAGTGATGCTCCTAGTGTGTAACTTAGCGTAACTCCCAGATCTTGTTTCATGTTAGAGTAGCAGATATTTATTTTACACAAAGAGTAAGGACTAGGACTGCTTTTATGTTTGTCAGCTATCATTATCCAACACTTCTTCGAGCTGTTGGTACCCGCATTTCCCTCCAAATCTTCAGATCATCGGTATATAGTAGTGAATGATCAGTAAATTTAAGCTAGCATTTGATTACAATCCTTAATTCGATAGCCTTGGATTTCATAAGCTGATGGTTTATATTTTGCTGAAATTGTCCCTTCACTTTTCTTTTTTTTTAATCACTCGATCTGCATAATGACCCTGATTTGCGGGACTCCACGGGATTTGAAAATATACGGTATAGAGCGTTTCCTTATATATGACCTCGGAGTTAGACATAGATGAATTCATCAATAGGCTACTGGAAGGTAAGATTTGATTAGGTTACATTTTTTGGTTTAGTTCGATCGTCCAAGCCTGGGACAGCTGTTAACATGAAGGAGGATGAAGTCCGATATCTCTGCGTGACTTCAAGGCAAATATTTTTATCTCAGCCGATTCTTTTAGAACTTCAGGCGCCTTTAAAAATTTGTGGTAAGTTAACCCTACTGAGGTACTTATATTTTCACCTTGTGGTTTTCTGTTAAGTTTATGTATCTTCAAGTAATAAAATATGTTCTCGGGTTTACAGGGTTTAGGTGGGTGGAACTCAGCTACGCATATAACCAAGTCATAGGGCTTCGATATTATAACTTTGTATCTTATTCAAACATGTGTTGATAGCGTATGGCTCAGGTCTAAGACCTATTGCAAACTCTACTCTTCTGACCGTCCTGTGAATCTAAACACTACAGGTGTTCACAAAATCATTGATTTCTACTTTTCATGTGTTTGTGTACCTTATACCGAACTGTGAAAGAATAGTCCGAGGTCGTACCATGAGTAGGTTCGGGGAAAACCCTAGTTTAACCGTCAGTAACTCTTCAAGCTTTTTTCCTTTTGAGCATATATTTATGTAGTTTACCAACAGGTCACTGGTACAGTAAGTCATTTTAATCCCGAATATTTAAGGTTTTGGTGTGTAGAACTAACATTGGTATTTGGTGTATACTGCATAGAGTCACTGGTAGTAAATAACTGGCCTACTTATCATGTTTTCGACATTCTGGTTGATGTCGTCATATATTTTATATCTGATGGGTTAGAGCCAAGTACCGAGGAAAAATAAGTCTTTTTGTATGGCTGAAACTCCTGGGGTGGAAGGTATACTTCTGCAAGTCTGGTCAACTGCAGGTATAGTGTTGTCCTTTAGTTTGAATATAGTAGGCAGTTTAGAAATTAGGTGTAGTCTCTAGTGGATGTCAGTTGATGAGATTGTAACCCTTGTTTGACTGAGATGGTTTATACATGTTTTGGGCATTCTGAGTCACCATCTACTCTTGTGCTTTATTGACTGAAGTAGTATTAGGTTAGAGAAAAGCAGATCCATCCAGTCGGACAGGTCAGAGATGACTTTTCTGGCATTCGTCCAAGGAGTTCACATTGTGCTTGAAAACCTAGTGCTATGCTTAAACCAGTGAGTTCATTAAAGCTAGCCACTGAGTATCCAAACAGTGAACTTTGAAGATTTACGGCAATGGTCAGGTGAGATCAAGTGAATTACCACACTCGGGTCCATCATTCGTGTTGCACAAATAGCATACATCTATGGCTCGAGATCCCAGAGTTCTGGCGAGCGATGCTTGCTGTCCGATTTGGCAAAGAGTTCGGACGTTGAAAGCTCCTACATGAAGTCGATGGCTGGTTTTAAGAGCCTAGTAATGGTAGCAGTGTGAAAGTTTAAGTAAGTTGTAGGAGGCGTAATACTGGTATCAGGAGGTGAAGGAAAAGGAGACATAATTGAAGAGAAATAGGGCATTTTTTGTTGGTTTTTGTATACTACTGGAAGGGCGTGGGACGTTAACACTTCCATGTTGTCCATACTACAGAAAGCTAGTTCTTGGGGTATCTGAATATGGGTTAATGTATGACTGCAGAGCCCATGGGACATCTGCTTGAGGCCGGTCACACGTGCCCTCTTTACAAGTAGATTTTAGTTTGTTACTTTTGGGTCTGACTGTAAACCCAAGTCGTCGGCTCTGGGATCTTGTGAGGTACAGTGGGGTGTGATACTTTCAGGGTCAATCATTTCTAACCCCCCCCCCCCTCCTCTGGATAAACTTTACTGCTGTCACACCCCATTCAGTCAGCAGTACGACTTTGCTTTTGTAAGCCCATAATAACGTAGCGATTTAAACTATAACAGTAACTGCCTTTTGTCCTACCGCTATTTAATAGGCGTTTCTGCTATGCGGAGATCTCGAGGGAACAAGCGTTCCACGAGCAAAGCTCGTTAGGTCATTGTGATATGCACATCCGGCTACTACATGATGTCAGCTACTGATGACCAGATCAATCCCTGAGGAGTTAGACGATTCGAGAAAAACCGCTATGAATAAGTCCCTTACACTGGCTAACATTCCAGATGAGTAATTATCATCTACCTCCATCCTTACATACCTTTGGTACTTGTGTTTAAACCTACCCTTCCTCTTTTCAGGTTACTTTGACCTTCAAAGTTGCCGCACCTCATATCAGCACTTTAAGTAAGGGGCAATAAAATGGAAGATGAAGAAAAAAAGTAAAGTCGACCAAAGGAAGTAGAAGTAGAAAGGAGTAAAACAGTAAGAAAGAATGAGAGAATGAGATTAAGTATAGCGGTTAAGATGATAACGTGTGCATAGATGTACACTACTGACATCAGTTCTGAGCCATATCATCTATAGTTTCCAACTGCTGGTTTCTCTTGTCCCACGGACCCAACCAGCTGGTTTGTATCGCCCTTCATGGCTCAAATGAACAGTTAACAACTTCATGTATTTATGCCATGTTCTAGTGTGGCTGCTCTAACCCTTTTTCCATCCTGAACCTACTTCAACCAACATTGTGTGACGAGGTAGAGGATAACTAGGCCTGCGTAATATGTATCCCAGCCATTTCAGTCGATGAAGGTTCACAACCGCACCAACTGTCTTACCTCTCCTGTCCAAAACTGTTTGGCGTCTGCGTTACTCTCGTGGTGACACCACGGATATACGGCTTGTACTACGAAGGCAACAGTGGTCAAACACCCGAAGCCATTTATATTCTACTTTTAATGGCCACGTTTCACAACCGTACAGTAGAACAGAGTAGACTGTAACACAGTACACTCCACCCTTAATTAACAATAAATATCGCGGCGATGCCACATGGCGTAAGTTGGCAAAAGCCAACCGAGCTTTTTGTATCCATGCAGAGATTTCGTCGGCCACTGACCAATGCACCAGGGCTGATCTGACTTCCCAGGTAAGTGAAGTGTTCAGTGCACTCAACCACTTCACTCTCTGTTGTTAGTCCTGAAGCAACAAAGGCATCCCAAACATTCTTAAAATGTCACTCAAAGTGTCCAGAAGACTGCATCTTATTAGCGTCTTCACCTGACAGGACTACGTCATCTGCGCATTCTAGGTCTAACAAAAATTCTCTTGTGATCAGGTCAATTCCTGACGAGGAGACCTCCATAAAACAGACAAGACTGAACAAGAATGAAGAGAATAGGCATCGTCGACGCACATCACTCGACGTACACTACTCACCAAATATCTCACCCCAGGCTGTAACACACCCACAGGTGTTCGAGTAGAGAGCCTTCAATAGGATGATGTACTTACTCAGTACTCATTTCAATGAGACACTGCCATAAGACGTGACGATCGACGGGTCCGGCGTCGGTAAGTGTGGCCGTGTTCCAGAACTTGACGGAGTGTGAATATTTTGTCGATACACCTACGACCAGGCCTGGAGCCTCTCTGTTTTTCTCGAGCTTGCTGTTCTCGAGCCACACTAGGGTGTCTAATTATTACAGAACCTAGAATCTTGGACCCTATGTTCGTCAGGCTTGTTCTTCTGTCATTATCACAAGAGGACTTCTCGCCTTTCTTGAAGACAGGAATAATCAGTGATTCAGAGAGGATCATACATTGGTTAACACTTCAGTTAACTTGACGAAAATCACTCTACCACCATCCTCATATACCTCAGACAGTAGTCCGTCTGGTCCTGCTGCCCTTCCTCGTTTCAAGTTACCTGCGCTTTCTCAACTTCTAAAAGTGTTGGATGGCCTGTCTCAATGTTGCATTCAGGATCCCATTAGATAATGGGCAACGTGATGGTGGCTGTAAGCCAGTTGAACTGTTCCTCAAAGTGTCTCACCCATCATTCTAGTCGTCTCCCCTTGGAGTGAGTCGCAAACCCATCCTCCTCTATTGTCTTACTAACCGCTGACCTTTTCGCCCCACTTTTCTTAATAGCTCAGAATAGTTGTCTGCTGTTACCCATCGCCACTACCTATTCCATCTCTTCAGTATTCCCTGCCCAACAATTTACACTGCCATTGCGTAAACTTTTTTTCAGTCTACATTTGAGTTGCGTTCGCTTTTCATTGTACCCAGAACCTGCAGGGACGCATTCACGTGCATCCAATAATTCAGAAGAAGCTGCTGAAATCCACTGGCTCCTTTTAACCACTCTTTAGGAGACGGTTACCGTCTTCAGCGCTGCTTTTACAGCTTCTTCTGGATGAGTGATAGTGCTGTGTTCCGATAAATACCTACCCAGTTTCTCACTAGAAGTGACCCGAGTGCGTTCACTGTCCAGATGGACTCGTAATGGTCTTGTTGCTAAAGTTTTCCTACGTCTATTGAGATGCAGGCATATACGCGCTCGGACCAACGTGTGGTCTCTATCCAAACACTTTCTCCAGAAGGAGCGGCAGTCTTCCACCGACCCTCCACCCATGACTGATTACAACGTGTCCTATCTGTGTCCATCGCTGAGTTGAACTCGGTGAACACCACGTCAGACAATGTCTTTCTTTATGTCTGAAGATTGTGCTGGCTAGTAATAAATGGTCATTTGAACACAGCTGTAGTAGCCGATCACCGTTATCTGTTCGTTCAACTGGGACTCCGAAAGTGCCACCTGCATGCCTTCCTGCCTCACTCGGTCTACCCATCTGTCCACTGAAATCACCTGCAACAACAACCACATCTGAATGTTCGGCTCTCAGAAGGAGGCTAGACAGTTTTCGGCAGAACTCGTCCTTCACTTCATCCGAACTGTAGTCAGTGGGTGTGTGTAACCAGAGATGACAAAGAGACAATGGTGAGTTTCACTATTCCTTTTAGTTCTCACTGTGCCGTTCAAATGGACATTGTGGAGGCGACTGACTATCAACTGGGACCCAGTCTAGTAGTCAGCTTTCTGCCCTAGTGCTTACTGCTATGCCTACATCTGCAAGACCACGAGAGCTGGCCATCGAATCTCCAGAAACTCGATGAGGGAGTTTCGCAGTTTGACCAGATTGGCCGGCGGAGGTTAAGTGAATAACTGCACTTGGGTCATGTATGCGTGTCTCACAAACACAGCACATATCCATGGTCCTAGTTGCTAGAGTCTTGGTCAATGAAGCCTGTTGACCAATTTGATGGAGGGTGTGGACACTGAAGGCTCCAATGTGTTACTTAGAGAGTGATTTAAGGAGACCAGTGATGCTGTTTTGTGGATTCAGATCGTTGTCGAAGACTGCAGAGGTAGGAGAAATTGAATATGATGTACTATCGTTAATTGAGAAACGTGAAGTGATTGACTGAAGTGTCTTGGAGATGTTTTGGCATACCGAGTCACCGCGTACCTTGATGTGCAATGGTAGGCGAAGTTAGATTACATTTTATTGAAGGAGACTTAGAGTGACCAGACCAAGACGTGGCACCGGTTCATAAAGTCTCTGGCTCTTACTATGGGCCGTGTAGAGTGGTGTAGACTTCTTGACTGGGGTCATCGAGACGACAGGAGTTTGGGTAACAATGGCACAGATGTATCCACTCTTTCATGTCTTTGGAAGGTTGAATATTTGTACTAACCTTTATTTTCAAATTGTGTAGTCGCTGATACACCTTCCTTTGTTTTGACATCAATCTGAGTACTACTGTGGACTGTGGGAGCTTGAACTGATGTTATTGTTTATGATGTTATGCGTTGATTTTGTGTATGTGTATATTTCAGAATTGGTATTAAGTCTTATGGATTATAGACATACGATATCTCAACACAGATAGTTGTGGCTCGATAAGCGTTTATCAACGTAGTTATTTTATGGTGCCTGTGTTATATCCTGTTATCTATTGTGAATCGTACGTATTTCATCACAGTCTTACTTTGTTGCCTCGGTACATGATGTTTTCAGTTAGGGGACTTGGAAAGGCTCTATAGGTTCGACCAAGATTGCATAAGAACCGGTATCTTCTAGTCATGGACCACCCAAGTCAGTTGATGAGATCGTGAACATCCATCGACTGAGGTGACTGGGATGGGTATTACGCATGTCTACTCACAGTTTACCTCGTTACTCATCGTCTCCCCAGTTGTGTTCAGCGAAGTCAGAGAAATTGTAATTCGAAGTATCTAACTGTTGGTCTGACCTGTATGTGAAGAAATGCAGGCCTAGAACTGATGGTCGAAGAGTCTTTGCGATGCGACTGAAAATCGATCGTCGTGGTCCATATGTAGTTATACCTAATCGCCTTCCTAATCATTCGATCACATTTCTTTATTTGTTTCACCTCTATTATTGTTATTACATTTGATTACATTCTGTTGTTTCCTTTATGTTACTTTTCCTCTTAATATACCAAAGTGAGGTAAGGATATATGTTTGTGATGATGAAGTATTAACTAGCGAATATTTCATTGATAAAGGGGAAAAATCCCCAGCAGTTCCACCATATTGAATTCTCATAAATCGATAAAATCGTATATGATTGTCTTTAGGCTTCATCTAGCTGCACATAATCGGGTCTTACAGAGGGGAACCACGTTCTGAAACCGCCCACTGATTCAAACAGGTCAGGAACAATAAGGTGACTTATAAACGATCGTCTCTCAGGTTCGTAAAAAGAATAATCCATGCAGTAATATGATTATACTCTTCAATGTAGTAGTAATGCTGAAAATCTGTAAATGAAGTGCTTTCAAGAAGTAAAAAGATTTTTTCGTTGACAGTGGGTAAATATAGTACAATAAGTGGTAATAATAGATAGGAATTTATAATTCGAGATGAAGGGGGACGATGTTTAGCTTCTGTTAGAGCTTTATTAAAGCTAAAAACCCAGTAAATAGCAATCCGTCGTGAGCAATAATAGGTTTGGGTTATGGACTTGTGTTCTTATGGCTATGCTTGTTCCCAGTCTACAATCTTAAGTCAGTTTCGTAATGTTGAACTGAATTCTTTCTCTCAATTATTCATTGTGTAAATTTCGATTTGTATTCCCTGTAGGCGATATCCATGGTCAGTACACAGATTTGTTACGTCTTTTTGAATATGGAGGTTTTCCTCCAGAATCAAATTATTTGTTCCTTGGCGATTATGTGGACAGAGGGAAACAAAGCTTAGAAACTATCTGCCTTCTGCTTGCCTATAAAATAAAGCATCCAGAGAATTTCTTTCTTCTTCGTGGTAACCATGAATGTGCTGCAATAAATCGAATTTATGGATTTTATGATGAATGTAAGTGGTGAAATTTTGTTAGTTTTTCTTTTCATGAGAAAGTTTTTTAATTTCTAAGAATGCTTGTATACTATCAAATTATCGCTTGTGCTACTGGTTAGACGCATACAATCCGTCAATATCGATAGTGATTTGCAGTTTGGTTTATTATATGGAAGCTTTCCTCATTCTGGACAGTATGTATGGTGTCGAGGTTGACTTGAATTGCGATAATAACCTTTGTAAATGAATGTCAATTCTTGTTCATTAATACTTGTAATTCCCCGTTGTTATACTTGGTCTAATTGCTCGACCTCTGTTGGCAGATAGGCTCCTTGATACTGCCTAGATATTCATCGTATTGCAGTCTACCTAGTGGTTAGCAGTGGGATCCAGGACGAGCTTTTTATCTTATTCAGCACTCGTCAGCTGGATGTACCAGCACCCGAGTGAGTGATGTTGTTCCCACTAAAACTCGACCCAAGTACCCATCGCTTCAAACGCCAAAGCGTTATCCACTTAGTCATTGGGGGTACAGGAGCCACCTCTTGTGCAGTAGATATCAGTTGTTGTTTATTGATCCAGCGATTCACCCCAGTATAAACGACAACTGATACCCATTGGACAAGAGGTGGCTCTTGTGCACCACTGGCCTAGTGGATAACTCGTTAGTGTTTGGAACGATGGGTACTGCGGTCGTCTCAGTGGAAACAACATTACTCACTGGGGTGCAGGCACATCCAGCTGAAGAGTGCTGAATAGGACGAAACGCCTGTCCCTGGATTGGATTCCACTACTAACCACCGAGTAGATTGGAATAGGATATCATTTCTGTTAGACTAAGGAGAACTTTTGGTCTTGAAATTCATGTATTTTCCCCTTGTGAGTGAAAACAGGCGCCAACTCTTTGTGTTATCTTTGAATATATGTAATTCTCAACGTGTTTGTGATAATTGGATTGTACAGCTTTTAATTTTTGTCTTGGGAATATGAGAGGATTTCTCACATAGTCTGGCATCGGTTAATTTGGTTTTGTCATATCATTTGACATAATTTTTACTCAAACATGCATTTCCCCACAGTGAGCCACACCTATCGTGTGAGGGCTGGTGGTACTACCGGGTTATCCAGTCGTCTGTAGGTGGAGAGGTTTTTCAGCCCACTGACCCACTGGTTAAAGGCCCAGCGCTAAGACGAATAAGCCGTAGCCTTACTAATTTAAGCGGTTATTTATATGACCACAGTTCGTCTCCCACAGCGGTACAGTTATAAATAATGTTAGTCAGATACAATACTTTCTATCCATAAAGTTGTATTCCAGTAGTGTAGAGGCTTCAGTTCTAAGCATATTACTATGCTTTCACTTCCTGTTCCGTTTGCTTCGCTGAATACTACGTCTTCCTGCTACGCAATACGCTTGTTGCAGAATCTCACAAAAGAACGTGGTGGCTGTCAGTTGTCTGCACCTGTTTTAACCCCTCCTTTCTTCCAGCAAACTTTGGATGCATTAAGGAAAAGGTGCATTGATATAACTTGGAGGGAACATTGTGGTAGATGTATCAAGTTCCAAGTATTGAAGTCTTAGTTTATGGTCGTGGTGTTCAAGGATGCGATAAAAGTTAGGCCCGACCGATAGCTGCTACCTTGACGTGGTGGTCGGGCTTGCATATCACAATGACCCAACGAGCTATGCTGGTGGAATGCTTGTTCCCTCGAGGTCCTGCCATACCAGAAAGGTCTATTGAATAGTGGTTAGACGGAAAGCAGTTACCGTTGTGGTGTAAATTGCTACACTATGATGGGGGTCTGAGGCTGAAGTCGTACTACTGCTAGCTGGATGGGGTGTGACAGCAGTAAGGTGTTTCCCTTCGATGACCAGCAGCGCCATGCTGATGCTGCCTTCTCAGTGGAAGGGGGGGTTAGAAAAGGTCGGCCCCAAAAATAACACACTCCACCATGCCCCACGGTCTGTCGGGCCGGCGTTGTTGGTTCACTTGTCGTTTCCTTTCGACCATCCGGCCCCCAAACTACAAAAGTTTAAAATAATCATACTCAAAAGGCTTCGTGTGACAGGCCTCAAGCAGATGTCCGATGGTCTCTGCGGTCACACAAGTCTCTTTCAGATACCTTAAGATGAAATAGCCTTCCACGGTGTGGGCAGCCGGGAAGCGTCAACCGCCCCCGCAACTCTGTCAGCACTCAAGTTTCTTCAGACTGCTAACCACCTCCCTCATCATTACCTCCCAATCTCCCTCCACGTCTCTTAATTAACGATAGTACATCATATTCAATTTCTCCTACCTCTGCAGTCTTCGACAACGATCTAAATCCACAAAACAGCATCACTGGTCTCCTTAGATCACTCTCTAAGTAACACATTGGAGCCTTCAGTGTCCACACCCTCCATCAAATTGGTCAACAGGCTTCATTGACCAAGACTCTAGCAACTAGGACCATGGATATGTGCTGTGTTTGTGAGACACGCATACATGACCCAAGTGCAGTTATTCACTTAACCTCCGCCGGCCAATCTGGTCAAACTGCGAAACTCCCTCATCGAGTTTCTGGAGATTCGATGGCCAGCTCTCGTGGTCTTGCAGATGTAGGCATAGCAGTAAGCACTAGGGCAGAAAGCTGACTACTAGACTGGGTCCCAGTTGATAGTCAGTCGCCTCCACAATGTCCATTTGAACGGCACAGTGAGAACTAAAAGGAATAGTGAAACTCACCATTGTCTCTTTGTCATCTCTGGTTACACACACCCACTGACTACAGTTCGGATGAAGTGAAGGACGAGTTCTGCCGAAAACTGTCTAGCCTCCTTCTGAGAGCCGAACATTCAGATGTGGTTGTTGTTGCAGGTGATTTCAGTGGACAGATGGGTAGACCGAGTGAGGCAGGAAGGCATGCAGGTGGCACTTTCGGAGTCCCAGTTGAACGAACAGATAACGGTGATCGGCTACTACAGCTGTGTTCAAATGACCATTTATTACTAGCCAGCACAATCTTCAGACATAAAGAAAGACATTGTCTGACGTGGTGTTCACCGAGTTCAACTCAGCGATGGACACAGATAGGACACGTTGTAATCAGTCATGGGTGGAGGGTCGGTGGAAGACTGCCGCTCCTTCTGGAGAAAGTGTTTGGATAGAGACCACACGTTGGTCTGAGCGCTTATATGCCTGCATCTCAATAGACGTAGGAAAACTTTAGCAATAAGACTATTACGAGTCCATCTGGACAGTGAACGCACTCGGGTCACTTCTAGTGAGAAACTGGGTAGGTATTTATCGTAACACAGCACTATCACTCATCCAGAAGAAGCTGTAAAAGCAGCGCTGAAGACGGTAACCGTCTCCTAAAGAGTGGTTAAAAGGAACCACCCAAATACAAATTGTTGCTCCAGGATTGGTCCTCAACGGTGCCACTGCTAATAATATAGGGTTTAGTGATTGGATGTATTGACCACTTTACTTACCTGGGAAGTGCGGTCAGCTTATCCTGATGCATTGGTCAGTGGTGGATGAAATCTCTGCACGTGTGCAAAAGCATGGGCCGGCTTTTGCCAGTTTGCGCTACCTGTTGCTCTGCCGTGATTTCCGATTTCCATTAAGGGTCGCGTGTACTGCACAGAAGTCCATTCTGTTCTACTGTATGGGTGTGAAATATAGCTATTGAAGGTGGACGGCGTGAGAAGGCTCCAAGTGTTTGACTACCGTTGTCTTCTTAGTATAAGCCGTATGTCCATGTTGTCACCAGGTGAGTAACAGACGTCAGGCGTAGAGTTTTAGGGAGCAGGGGTAAATCAGTTGACGAGGTTATGCACCTTCATCGACTGAGATGGTTGGGACACGTATTACGTATGTTTAGTCGCCATTCGCCTCGTCAGACAATGTTGGCCGAAGTAGTTCCAGTCTGGAAAGAGGCTCATGGTGGTCAGACTAAAACGTGGCACCAATGTATGAAGTCTCTGACTGTTGGTCTGAGCCATGTAGGACGATGCGGACTAGCGTGTTGGGGTTGGCGGGACGGAGAAGGACGGATCTGCGATTCACTCGCAGGGAAGGCGACTGGGACGATGGGCAGAACACTTCGAGGAACAGTTTAACTGGCCTCCAGCCACGATTGCGCTGCCCGCTATCCAGTCGGACCCTGAATGGGACATAGAGACAGGTCCCCCAACACTAGAAGAAGTTGAGAAAGCGGTAGGTAGCCTGAAACGGGGAAGGGCAGCAGGACCAGACGGACTACCTGCTGAGGTATACAAGAATGGTGGTAGAGTTCTCTTAGTCAGGCTAACGGAAGTGTTAGCCAGTATATGGGAATCAAATACGATCCCCTCCGACTGGTCTAAGTCACTCATCATCCCAGTCTTCAAGAAAGGCGAGAAGTCCTCTTGTGATAACCACAGAGGAATCAGCCTGACAAACATAGTGTCTAAGATCCTAAGTTCTATAATTCTCCGACGCCTGAGTGGAGCTCGGGAACAGCAAGCCCGAGAAAACCAGGCAGGCTTTAGACCTGGCCGTGGATGTATCGACCAAATATTCACACTGCGCCAGGTCCTGGAACATAGGCATGCTTACAGACGCCCGACAATAGCTGTATTTCTCGACCTGAAGGCGGCATTTGACTCCGTTGATCGAGAAGTCTTATGGCAGTGTCTGTCACTGAAAGGCGTGCCTAGTAAGTACATCACCTTATTGAAAGCTCTCTACTCGAACACTTGTGGGCATGTTAGAGCCTATGGTGAGTTGTCCAGGGAGCTATACTCATCAAGTGGTGTCCGTCAAGGATGCCCACTATCCCCATTCTTATTTAATTTTATCATAGATATTCTTATGGAGGTTTCCCTCTCGTCACCTAATTACAAAGACGTTGACCGGATCACAGGTGAATTTTCCTTAGATCTAGAATATGCAGATGACATAGTCCTGTTAGGTGAAGACGCTGACAAGATGCAGAGTCTTCTGAACACTTTGAGTGGGAATTTGAGAATGTTTGGGATGCGATTTTCACCA